GGGCCACAGCTTGGCCTGCGTTTGAGTAAGAGGGAGTTACTTGTAAAAATCTAAGGATTGCATGAGTTTGGCAACCTACTGTAGTTGGACGACACGATACAGCCTTATCGCATGCCAGACCGAGTATCGAACGATTGTAAAATATTGCCGTGGACCTCAACTCGCGCATTAGTGCGATAGTAAGAGGCCTTGATCATAGCGGTGATTTTTGGTGTTACACCATTTAATGTAATTATCCGCTACAAGGATTAGCGATGGACAGAATCGAACGTGACTGCAAAGTCAACAAAGCCGACGGCCTTCGGTTGTTAGTAACTAAGGCTTAATTCAAGAATATGCCTTGGTGTGGTCCGTAAATCAACGCCTAGAAAGGAATCCGGCTTGGCTGAGCCTCGTTCTAGAGTCACGCTTAGCATGAAATCTCCTGGAGAGAATAACAATGAAAACCTCTACAGTAACGTCAATCAGTAACTGTGACTTTTGGTGGAATAATAGCCCACAGCACAACGTTAGCTCTAGTAGCGACTTACTGCTTACTTCAAAATAAACCTTTGATGAAGACCCTTCTTCACCGACTGGATAGACTGACTTCGCCCTCTTGGCGTTCCTGCGCCGGTTGCTGCCATCGGCCGTATTTTCCGTCTGTCTTAGTTTCAAGCGCGATTTCTGTTTTCTTGTAGTCTCTTCACACCAGACTTGCTGTAATTTGTTCTTTCCAACTGCTTGTAGATGCTGCTGGTCTTTCAAAAAGTCTCCGAGGCCTTAGTTTTCCATATTTTCTAAATTGACACGAGTGTTTTAAATATGCCATTACAGCAGTCACTTACACTTATTTAGACATAATTGTCACTGCTAATCAAAATGATTTTTCTTTTGTTCATAGAGTACTTCCTGAAACTTGCTTCTGTTTTCGACAACAACAATTGCATGTGTTGACCGCCTATTAGGGCCTTTGGGACCATTTTTGTGAACAAATCATATTGTTTAAGTTGAGTGCTTTAAACCTCAAGTGCTTATCAAGTTTTTGATTTGTACTGTGAATTTATTCACATTTAACCACTGTCTTCATAGTTTGAACATCCACCATTATCTTCCCTAGCGATATTTAGTCTGTAAGTTTTGCAAGACTCGGGGCACATGTGTTACACGGTAATGGTTGTGGATACTCGACGTTCGTCAGTAAATACACGACAGCTCACATATGAAGGTGCCCAAGAAGAAAACTATTTTCTTTAGGCAAGTGCTCCCCTCTCTCTGCAAATGCGTCTAATGGATACCCTTCTTGCTCAGTTGGCCAGGTAACATCCATGAGGAATCATCGCTACAGCGATAATGGTTGTTTTCTTAACTTCCTCCCAACACTATGCCATTTGGCGCCAACATAAAATGCTGTTTTCTGTTAAATAAAACAGGAACAGAACCACTTTTAGTGTTTCGAGAAGCTTATGGGAAAGACGCCCTGAGCCAGACAAGAATTTATGAGTGACTTGCCTGGTTTACAAATGGTAAATGTCACTTGAAGGTCAACCGCGTTCGGGTCACTCAGAAATCAATTTTGAAGTCTATGATGGCTTTTGCTTAACAGGAAAGGAGTCGTTCACGTTGAATTTGTCCATCCTGGTGCCACAATGAACCAGCATTACTATCTGCAAGTGCTGAAGCGATTTCATGGGGATATTTGGAAGAAAAACGGTCTCAGTTGTGGCGATTGGGGGCTGGCTGCTTCATCCCGAAGACGCGTTCGACCACATAGCGTTCAAGACCAGATATTTCTTTTGGCGAAATACGGCATGACAGCGGTACCTAACCCCCCGCCCTTATGCATCCGACCTAGTCTCCTGTGCCTTTTTATTCCTTATTAAGAAAAAAGCCTTTTCAGTACGTAGAAGAGGTTAAGAAAAAACGTCAAGGGTACTTAAAAGCATTAGTTTAGAAGCATACAAAAACTATTTCGAGCATCGAAAACCCGTTTATACTAGTGCATATCACCTAATAGACAATAGTTAAAAAGGGAATAGTAAATTTTGAAATTTTTATCTTAGATTAACAAATTAAATCAATAATCCTCGTTCTTTGCTTGTCTCCTCGTTTATATTCGCCAACGCTACTTTCTTTGAAATGAAGCCTAGTGTACGTCATTGTATCAATATAAAGGGTGTTTTTCACCGTTTTTACAGACAATTTACGATAAGTGATAGATTACTAACCGTTTTCTTTTATCTAGTTCTTCATCGCGGGCCAACAGAACACTTTCGGTGTTGGCCTTGCCGTCTGGAAGTCAATTTCTACGTTTCAGTTTGGTCGCAATAAATGCGATCCTGTGGATCGACAAAATCCAAACGCTGTTCACAAGATGGCATTTACTTAGTAGAGTCGATAGTTGCTGAACGTTTGATCAAAAACCAAAAGTTCTACAAAGTACGCTGGGAGGGCTTTGCTGCAGAAGAGGAGAGCTGGGAGCCGGAGGAAAATCTGGCGAATGTTAGGAACCTAATTTACAAATTTCATCAGAGGAAAAAAGCCCGTGGCGAATTTCCTATTCCATCCTCCTCCTCTGCCCCCTCAACGAAGGCAAATTCTCCGCCAACACCAGCCTCCAACAGCGGCAGATCACGTTCACAAACCGAATTCATGAAAGCTCAGAAGCGACGAATAGGAAAATCGCGCAGCGGACGCTTTGAATATGTCCCAAAGAACGAACTGGTCGCCTCAAAAACTAAGTATTTTGATGATATTAGGGATGGGAAGATTGATCTCACTTCAAGTGATCTCTACTCTCGGGTCAAAACTCGACGGCGTTGCATTGCAGATAGTTCAGGCCACTCCGCCAACGAAGAGGACTCACTCAGTCGCCCAGCCAGCCTTGTTGAGTTAACTAGCGACACGGACGCGGTAACGCCAGCACGCTACAGTGAACCCTCATCCCCTAAACACTTGACACAATCCACAGACGAATCAATAGACGATACCATCTCCGCTGACTCGGCTCCTTCCCAGACCGATACCAGCACTCATCACAGGATCGATCAAAGGGATGTTTCCGGAGAGGCGACCCTTCCTCCGACTACAGATGATTCTGCCGCAGGTCGACTTCCCAGCCTAAAGGGTAGGCGGCGAAAGGTATCGCGTATTGGCAGTCTAAATCTGACTGTCTCCTCTTTTTCCAAACGGAGAACGCATTTTTCTCGTCGACATCGCTCCAAGCGGGCACGTTTTTTGCCCACTTTTCGACCATATGCAACACCACCAACTAATGAACAGTTATCCACCGAAAAAATTAAAATGGAAGAACCGACTTCCACAACAGAATTGGAGTCAAAAGAAGACGCAAAGGAAGGCGGGCTCGAAGCACAAGGGCATGAATTGATTGCAACTGGAGATGCCAAGAAGGAGGCCGTAGAAGGGATAGATTGCAGTCCACCCCAATTTGAAAACATTTCTCCCAGGCGGGAGTCCACTCCTATCTCAGATGTGGTGGTGGAGGACACGCAACATGTACGTTTTTATATGCCTTTGTAACAGTCTAAGTAGTTGTTGTACTTAGAACACTACAATCATCAGACCGAATAACTGGTTGAAGATATAAAGCAAAAGTCACCAGGAGGTGGGTTCTTATTGTGCACAGACCCCTATGTTGCTGTCTTAGGCAGCAGCGGCCGCTGGCGGTGACTGCGTCCAGTCGTGTCCGAGAGTGTGTGTGATCTGAGAGATGTGACTATGGCATTTGCTTCTACAGGATTGTGAAGCAAGCTAAAGTGGTGTGTGATTGGTGTGTTGCATGGCCCTAGGACTTTCGAGTATTGAGGCCCTTGCTGCATCGGCCGAGGGGTGGTGTATTCAAGTGGTCACGCGTGTGTGTGCGAGTGGAAGTCGATCAAATATTTTAAAGTCAGCGAGTCGGGAAGCGCTCCGTGCGACGTCGCGTGACCTTGAGAAAGTGGACGTTTAACCGGAAAATGGGACAACCTTGTTAGCTGTCCGCCACACCCTCATTCTGTTGATGCATTCAACTAAAAGCACCACTCAAATGACGGATTCACACTTCCACAATAGGCTCTTTAATTCACGGAAGTGCTTCTTTTTCTGACTTTTGGCGTCAGCGTAACGCTTCATCGAACTGGGATCCAACAAATCTAGTGTTCAATTATTAGTTTGGGTCGGATTCTCGTTCCATAAGAACCGATGATATGAGGTTGCTAGCAGGTTTGAGAGTGAGCCCCAAGGGAGAACGAGATGAGTGAGTCCCGTTAGTGGTTATTGAGCGTTCATCAACGAAACCCGGTTTTTGACAAGGACCTGTATAACCGAGATGATTATTCTAGCAGTTCCCGCCTCTCAAGCTCTACCTTCCGGAACCGAACGAGCTTTCGTCACTGAAAGCGAGTTATCTACTCCGACGAACAGTATTTAAAGAATGACGGCCGCGCTGCCATGTGTTTCCTTAAAAGGTCACTTGCAGTGTCTGCAGCGAGAGGGGAGGTATTCAGGTTGTTGTCATGGCGACATCTGGAATGGAGCTTCCCGTCGCGCTAATCCGGCTGGGACTGGCTTTCCACTGCCGGCGGCCGCGTCCACATCGCACTTAATTGCTGGCGCAGTTTAGCTGCTTTCGTTCGCACTCTCCACGGATTACTCGGGTAGTAGTCAGCGCGTCAGGATTTGCTGTTCGACCCCTGTCCTGGGTAGGCCTGCTTCTTCGTCCGTCCTTTTGTTGATTCAACCGAACAGGAAGGGCCTGGTAGGCCTCAATGCGTTCCAAGTAGCGGTTTATGCAAGTTCCTGCCGCGTGTCGGACTTCTACTGTTCCTCTGGTCTGGCCTCCTAAACGAGATGCGTGATATATTGGCTGGACCAATACGAGGCGAAATCAGGGCCTAGCAGGCGTTACCGGGGTTGCGCTCTCATAAAAAATGCCGAACATGGG